AAATTTCAAAGAACCTTTATTGAATTTTTTTCAATTTTATTCTGATAGTAAAAGTAAGTTCGTTATTAGTTCGTTATGTCATTTAGATTTACGAGAAAACCAAAAACAATTGTTTTTTAGATGAAAAACATTTAAAACCTGTCGATTTTACTACAAAATCATCATCCTCATCACCATTATCATCATCAATGACAGATTCTGTAGGTGGTGGTGGTGGTGGAAAAATTTCATCAACATCATCATCGTTGAAACGTCGACCAATAAATCGTGGACCACGTATACCATTCACAACAAATCAAGTTCAAGAATTGGAAAATAAATTTATAAAAACACAATATTTAAGTAGTAACCTTCATTTAGTTAACCGATTTGCAGAATTAAATTCGCTATGTTCTCATTCAAATGAAAAAAATTTCTTTCTTTTTCTTAATTCATAATTTCCATGAACTAATCAATTCGGTATAATTAGTTTGGTTCTCATCCAAACACACATCTTTGCTAAGAAAAAAGATTAATCTAATTAATCTTAATTACCTTGTTGTAATAACAGAAGTTTATTAATTCAATTTCAATTTCTCATGATTAGTTATGCGTTTTTTTGTTTGTTTTTCAGTTGTTTTTCTGAATCTCTCTTTGACAATTGAATTAATCTAAATTTATAATAAATGTTACCGAATTAACAAACAAACAAACAAACAATAATGATTTTCATCAATACACAATGATGACATCATTATGGTCAATTTTTTGTTGTTGTTGTTGTTGGTCGGTTAAAGATTCTCTTGGTCTTTTTTTTAATGATCCAGGATAATTATCATTGTTGTTTTTTATTTCGGTCATTTTACAAATACAAAAAATTCATACACGCGGTAAAAATAAAAACATTTATCTTGTCCATGTGGCGACTATAGTTTGTTTTCTCTCTCCTTTCACTAATATCATATATGGTTGATTAACTCTTGGTTGTTTGTTGCTCTTTTTTTCCCATTCAAACAAACAAACCGAAATAAATAAAAAATAAAGTTATCAAAATATTCCGCCAATCATAATATGATAATCACAAATATTTCATTCAGAAGAATGAAATTATACCGAAAAAAAAATACAAACAAACTAGAAAATCTTTTTCAATTTTTTTCATGCTTAACAAATTGCAATGTTTGTTTGTTTTTTCAATCGAATAGTGAATGAAAATGTGAGATAAATACTTAGTCATTACTTATTTAATCCTTTAATGAGATTGTAATCTGGGTAAACATTACACACACACACACACATAGAGAGATCCGACTGACTGACAAATGAATGACATTCAAATTGGGAATCTCTCTCTTTCTCTTTTAATCTCTTATTTTTCATTTTGATTTTCAATTATGGGACAATTATTTTCAGGATAATTGATTACAATTGACAACCACAACCGCAAACAAACAAACAACGATAACACTGGATAATTTTTATCTGTTTTTCATTCAACTTTGTGGTTTTGTTATCGAAAATTACCGTTGGGTCCGCGTATTCAATGTCCTTTCTTTATCTAATTCTCCCATTGTAACTACATTATCAATGATGAAAACAATATCAAGATATTTTTTCAATGAATGAATGAATGAATGAAAATTGGCTAGACAACAACAAATAGTAGATCAAAAGAAAATAATTGATTTTGTTGTTTGAATAATAAAAACATGATACCGGATCAGATTGTTGGATCGGATCATTCGGATCGGATGATGATTATTCAATTTCAAAAAAAAATTGGCCTGGCAACAATCTATTTATCTTTGACAATGGTTTCATTGATTGACATTAATAGGGTCGTGTCGTCGTCGTACGGTTGACAAAAGAAACAAACAAAAAAAAAACTACCGATCGCGGTCGATGTCAATCATTGATTTGGATCTTGTTCCAATTTTACATTCGATGACATCAATATCGATGATAAGAGTCGGAGTTATTTGTTGTTGTTGTTGTTTGTTAATTCGATATCTTTCCATTCACCCACCACTCGATCGACTGACTAAACAAAATTTATAAAGATTTTTTTCAATTATATTTTTCATTTTTTATTATTATTATGAAATTCAATTTGATTAAAAATTCAATTCAATTCAATTATTTTGCCCATTTTTCATTATCATCACCACCACCACCGTCAACACCACCATCATTATGTTCATCATTATTATCATTATATCCATGTTCATTATCATCATCATCATCATCATTGTTACCATGATGATGACGATGGTTATGATTATGATTAACATCTTCTTCACCATCACCATGACCATGACCATGTTGATATGGTTGAAGACCATTGCCTGATGAATGATGTTGATGATGACCATAATTTTGTGGATATGAACCATAATAACGTGGTCTAAATAGTCCACGTAAATATCGTGTATATCTTCTTATTCCTATTGAGAGAGAAAAAAAATTTTGATTGAATTCAACAAAACAAAATCAAATTACCAGTATCACCATATGGATATGGATAATTAGCATTAATCATCATTATAATTGTAGATATGATTAATGTAGAAAATATTAATGAAAATGATGATATATTCATGTTTAGAAAAGCAAATTTAAAACAATAACAGTAGATCAAAAAATATATCGATTTGATTCCACAAATAACAAACCGATTGAATCAATTTATAAACGACGTTTTTATACGTTTTTTTTATATCCATCATTACCACCACCAAAGATCCGATTCGATTTATCAGAAATTGATTTGACAAAATTTACTTTTCTTTTTTTATTTTCTTTATTTTCAAATTTCTAAATTTGAAAATGAATTTAAAAATATTCAAATGTCAATCAATCAATCAATCAATATTTGATTCAAAAATGATTACTAATATTATCGATTTGACATTGAAATATTATTATTATTATTACAACATATCAATATCAACATGATCTGAATAACTTTTTCACCTTAAATTTTTTGATATTAAACCAAACAACAAAAACGACAAAACAAAAATGTTCGTTCCATGACATTGATCATGAGCTCAATTTTTCGGTTGTTGATCTATTTTATTTCAACAAAAACTGATGATGATGATGAAATTTTCGAAAAATCATTTTTTCGACAGAATATTGCATCATCTACCTGCTGCTGTAGACATATTTCTTGGTTTGTGTCGCCAAGATTTCGGTTGACAAAAAAAAGAACCCATCCTCAAAAAAATGATTAATTAATTAAGAAGATTTTTTAATCTAAATTTTTGGGCTTCTTTCTTTGAAATTAAAAAATCCAGAAGCTTATCTATTCATCTACCTACCTGGCTACTGGTTTTTTTTGTTTAAATGTTATTTAATAATGAAAAGATGAATGACTTTTAGATGATGGATAGATAGATAGATAGATAGATAGATGGAAATGCAAAAGAAAAACGAGAAGATTGATTAATAAGTAACAAGTACTCTCTCTATTTTTTCTAATTCATCTGATCACATCAATAGGATGTGTGTGTGTTAAATTATCTTTTTCTCTTCAAACAAGCAAACAAAAAAAAAGGTGATTATGGATCTTATTTAGGCTTGTCCATGTATATACGTGTGTCCAGTGTGTGTGTTCCTTTCCTTAGTAGCCAAAAATCATTTACCAACCAAAATGTCATCGTTGTTGTTGTTGTTGATCAATGATCATCTCATTTTACAAAAGACAAGTCATCATCATCGTTGACTACCAAGACGACATTTTTTTTTCGTTTCGTTTTCAAATCGATAAGATAACGATTACAAACGAAACGCACACACTGTATATTTCTAGATGTGGAAGAAGTTTTAAAAAAATATGAATTTTATCGGTGACACTAAAATAATCCATCATACATAATTATCGCGTCAATCATAATTGTCATATTTTCTTTTACTTACTTACTTGGATAATGATAATCTACCTACCACAATGTTTGATGAATCTGGTTCTTCAAAACATGAATCTTTTGACTTAAAATTGTTCAATTGTGTCAAAGTCTTGTCATCAGTTTGTGATTTGGTGGAAAATTTTCGATATGAATCTTTCATCCAATATTGTCAAAATGTCAAAAATATCCCACACACGAATATTTGTTTGTTTGTTTTGAATATTGATTATTGAATTTATTCAAATGGTAAAATTATTCTTTGAGAATCCAACAAAAAAAGAACTTTACTTTTTTTAAAGGATAAGAAGAAGAGGGGAAAACTTCTAATTGACAAATTATGCTAGAAAATGATTAAAGAAAAGGAAAAAAAAATAATTCACAAACAATCATCAATTTCATCATTATCATCATCATCATCATTATTGTTAGTGTTAACAGGTGGCTATAGTTAATTTTTGTTTTCAACCAAAAAAAAAAATCATATCAGATTTCTTCAGTATTATTTGATGATGGAATTCATGATCATGTCACACAAACGCAGACTATATTCACATTACAACAACAATCATCCATCATTTTTTTTATTGTCATTTTTTTATCTACAAATGAAAAGAACTTATCAAAAAATTTTATCTTTTTTTTCTTCTTCTCTGAAATACTTTTTTTCTATAGGTAAGAATTTGGTTTCAAAATCGTCGAGCAAGAGAAAAACGTGAACATCAACAACAACAACAACAACAAAATCTTCAAAATGGCCATCATCATCAATTAGAAAATAATATTGATAATCATCGATCGGAAAACATTGAATTCGTTGATGATGATGACGGTGATGACGGTGATGATAAAATTACCTATGATGATCCAATTTCATGTGAATCATCATCATTATCATCACAATCGATACGATCAAATTTTGATGATGGGCAACAACAACAACAACATTGCACTTTATTTACAATGATGGATGATGATGATGATGACTTGGATGCGGATGATTCATCCATATCATCTTCTTCTGATCCTAATCCTATAGATAAACATTAAATTCATTTTAGCTTTTCATTTCATTTTTATTTAACCCAAATTTGATATTGACAAAATTTAATCATTTTCATGTAAATAAAATGTATCCCAATTGATTAATTTAAATGTTTTTCAATGTTTCTTCAACAATTTTATGTGAATCTTGTTCTACATGTTGATTTTTAATTACTGATTGTGGTATTTCATGAATATCATGATTAAATAATGGATGTGTTGGATATGATGGTGGTTCAGTTGTTGGTCGATATGGTGGACGTGGCCATGGTCTTTGTACTTTATTCGATGGTGGTTCAATCATATCGGGTCTTTTTCGTCGTACGGGCATTACATTTGATGGAAATTCACCTTTTACATTACCGGCTGGCCAAAAATTAGCAACAACTAATGTTTTATAATTTTGTGGTGTTTCAAATTCAATTTTTACACATGTTGCTTCACGTGATCCACGCCATACAAGTTGTGTAAAACCACCAGTTCTAGCAGAAAATCTTGGATCATCATAATCATAATGACGTTCTTCTTCATACCAAGTATTGATTGCTTCTTCAATCGATCGATAACGATTTGGATCTAGTGTATATAACAGGTGAATATTTAATATTTACGGTGAAAAATGATTAAAATATCAGCATTACCATAATACCAGAAAAAACTTTCACCAAATGGATAATGTCCTTTAACAATATCTCGTTTACCTTCGGCAATATCACCTAAAATACTCCAAGCACGATCAAGTGTATATTGTGTAAACTAGAAGCAAAATAATAGACAAAAACAAAAATCATTTTAAAACATCTTAAATCAAATAAATTAACTTACATTATCACCCAAAACTAATGGTGGTGTATTTTCATGCCATAAACGTTTACGATTCATAGCATCTAAACATCTATATTGAAAATCCTGATCATATATGATTCGTATATTTCGTCCTTTAATTAATGAAAAGAATGCAAAACGCATTTGAAATTATTTAAATTCAATGTATTCAATCATATTGAACTTACGTCCTTTATATGGTCCCATAAAACGATCAAGTATGATTGATTTATCTTCGGTTAACACCAGTTTTGTTTGATCAGATGATGGTAATGGTGGTGATTGAATCGATATTGATGGTGCTGATTTGGATTCTGAAACTGATAAGTCTGGTAATTCTGAAGTTGATACAACCGGAACATATGATGTTGTTGGCAATCTTGTTGGCAATACCAATTTTGGTGTTGTTGATACGGGTAATTTCGGACGAACACGATTCAAAATTGAAGAATTAGGTGGAATTGTTGGTAATGGATTTGGTTTTTTTGCCAATACGTTTGTATTGGCAACAAAAATGGCCAATACCATTATCAGTATTTTAATCGAAGCCATATTCAAAATGCTGAATATTATTATGAATTTTAATCCAATGAATGTTCAATCTTTTTATACTGTGAATTTAAAAAACTTCTGATAAAGAACTTGAAGTTCAACTTCACGATGAATACTGGTTTAAGATGTGGTTTTTAGATGTTGGGGAATTTCCGTCATCAGAAAACAAGAAAAAAATTGTCATTCCCATCGATCAAGTTTTTTTTTACTGAATTTATTGAATAACAGATTCCATGATTTTTTTTTCTCCAACAACAAATGAATGGATAACATTTTTCGACAAAAAAAAGGGTTAAAAAACTAATTCATCACTTGATAAACATGATGACCTTTGATCTTTTTTTCCAGGTGTTCCAAGTTTAATTAATTAAGGTTCGTCGATCTCATCATAAGTGAATATTAAAGAAATACCGCAACATCAATATTTTAAAAAAAAAAGTGAAACGATTACTTGTGTCTGCAAAAGAAAACTAGTTTTCATTATCAAGTTTAAAAAAGAAAAAGAAAAATTTATTTTTTATTTAGGAAAAAAAAAGTAATGAGGCCCAAAACATTCATTCATTCATTCATTTTTTGTTTGTTTGTTCGTTAAATATGTGTGTATAGAGAGCAATGGTCGATTATGGTTAGGATTCAAGGATTTTTTGTTGTTGTTGTTGTTGTTGTTTGTTTGCTTCATTTTCACCAGAAAATATTAAGACATAGAATTACTATCGAGAGGGGAGAAAAAAAAGTAATAACCCAAACACCATATACCAGGAGAAATAAAAAAACAATAAGAAAAGGAGAAAAAAAAATAATAAGTGTTTTACATTTTGCATGGATTTTGTCTATAAGCTAAATAAAATCCTTTAGCATTATTAACACTATTCGAAACAAATCTTAATTGAAATGGTCCTGGTGTAAAATCAGTTGTCATTAAATAATTTTGATGTAAACGTTTAAGTGAATCTTTACGTAGAATCATTGGCGATGACATCATCCAACGATAACGACGTGTTAATACATCTTTAAACAATTCCACTTGACGATGATGACGTCGTAATTCTTCTACTTCACCAGATAAATCTGAACCTAAATGTTCTAATAGATCACCATTACGATTTTCATGTCCATTTTTACGATATGGTCTATTTTCACTTATATTACCCGGTGTTATTAAATCTTCTAATGATGGTGATAATGATGATGGTTCAGTTGGTTCAATATTTTCTTTGGTTGAATCATTTAAATGTTCATCATTGGAATCAACAATTTTTGTACAAACTTTTGTTCCGCTTACAATCAGATAATCATCATCACATTGTGTTGTTTGTACTGTTGAATACATTTTTCCAGTTGTTGTCCATTGACCATAATCATCAGTTTGATGTAATCCAATACGTTTACTAAATTGATTTGTTGATAAACCAACTGAGAATGGAAAAACCGCTCCACTTTGATCAGACATAAATTCATATGAAATTGAACAGAATCCAGTTTCTTTACGAATACAAATCATATAATCAACATTGTTTGGATAACCTTCATTCAGAACATTTGATAAATCATTACGATTTGTTAATTCATCCGTATCATAATTAAAACTTTTGATTGTTCCTTGTGTTCCTTCATAATATTGTAGACAATGTGCAGGAGCTATAACATAGAAAACAAACTTTCATTAACAATAAATTCATTATGTAAAATCAATTTTATTACCCGTTTTTCGAGAACCACAATCAATCTGTTCAATGTGAATATCAAATTTACGTGGATAATCACCACGAAAAACCATATGTAATGTTACCATACCGGATTCATCAACACCGATGTAATCTTGTTTTATTATTTTTTGTTGTTGACGAAAATGAAATGAAAAAATTCATTCAGTTAAATTAATCTCATTTAGTTATTACTTACAATGTTGTCCAGTATTATGGCCACAAATACGTGGAATAATATTATTTTCATTTTGACCGGATATTAAAAATGAATCCTGTGTACAATTTCCTTCGATTGGTTTTGCAATATCAAATTGATTAAATGATAATTTCAATTGACAAACACTATTTGTTGTATCGATTTTTTGTATTTTAGCACGACAAATTCTTTGGCCATCATATGAATACGGGAAATTTGGATTACGAAAATAAACATGTCGTTCACGTATGGTTTGTGAACAGGTTATTTCAAATAAACAACAAACATGTCCATTTTTACTACCACCACAACGTCCCATCGGTATTCCACCTCTTTCAGCACAAATTGATGCATCATAACAAGTACCATATCGTTGATCCGGTGCCATACAACCATGACCAATTTCATCCAAATAATCATCATCATTATCTTCTAGTTCATTTTTATTATTATGTAAAATTGTAAAGAATTTTTGTTGCTGCTGCTGTTGTTGTTGATGCGGCTGTTGTTGTTGTTGATGATGATGATCACGATTATGATCCGATGTAGATATTGAATGAATATTACTACTATCTGGATATAATTTTCCCGAATTATATTGATGAATATTCGGATGATCGGATGATTCTTGATATTGACGACGATTCAAATCATAATTATTTCCACCATTTGGATTATATACCGGTTTTGGTCTTTCCTTATAAATTTGTTCTTGAATCAAACAAATGGAAAACAAACAAAATTTTCAATCAATTAAAATGAAAATTTTTCAACCAAAAAAAATCAATCAAAAATTCCAACAAACCTGTATCAAGTAAACGTGTACGATGTGATTGAAAACGATTGGCTAGAATTAGATTTGGTCGACATTGGCAAGCCAATATAAGTAATAACCAATTGTATGTTTTAAGTATCACTATCCAAGATGAGATTTGCATTTTTGTTTTGTTTTTCGAAACAAATTTCACAGTTTAAAAGTATAAAGATTGTCACAAAATGTTCGCCAAAAGATTGTTTTTCTGTTTCACTGTTTTTTGGCAAAAAAATCAAAAATCAATCTGAACGCAGTATGAGAAAACAAAATAAAAATGCAGAATTGGAAACAAAAGAATCAACAAAAGTTAACAACATGAATCGATCGAATGAATTTTAAGCAGCCGACCTGGCCGACAATGATTATGCTGATGATGAAAATGATGATGAAAATGAAAATGGACGTATACGGTATATGATGATGATTTGCCAGACACACACTCGAATACAAACACAACCAACAACCCTCAACCAAAAAAAAATTGAACAAATCATTCAACGAAACCCAGAAAAAAATCAAAATATTCCTGGTGAATGTTTAATTTCACTGTATAGATTTTTCCTGCTATATTTCTTTGTCTTTACGGTCGATTATATTTATGGTAAACACAAGAGAGAGAAAGAAAAAAATTTGTCGTTCGTTCTGGTGCTTAAATGTTTCTGGTCTAGAGATGGCCAAAAACAAACAAACAAATGAATGAATGAATGAATGAATGAAAAATTGGACAACTTTGAGATGGTGAGAAGTGAAGAAACAAACAAACAAACGACAAAACCACAAATCAGATATGAATAATGAGTGTATATTTTTTCTGGTTGTTTGCAATAATTCTTTCTTTTTTTTTTTTGGTGATATCAAACAAACAAAAGGCGTATATTGATATATCGATCTGATCATTCACCCTGTATTATTCATTCATTCAGAATGAATGAATAATGATGATGACGATGAGAAAAATTCAATTCAATTTTTGGATTCGACAGACGATAATAAATTTTCAATCATTTTTTTTGTGACAACTCGATTCTTCCGGTAATTTTTTTGGATGCAAATTGAATAAACGAAAGACAGGTAGACACAATTGTTGTTGACTGAGAACATTGATCGCTGATAATGTCATTCACAAATCATTCATTTTTACAAAGAGGGTTTTTTTTTGTTAATTTTCTCGGCTAAAATACTTCCACCATAACATGATGTTACTGTTTTTTTTTTTGTTTTTCTCAATCACATTTCATTCTCTGCCATGAGAGAATGATTTCACTAAAAAAACAACAACGACAACGACAATTAATTAGTCAAAATAAAGATTACAATGGTAAATGGAAATGATCAAGATTTATTATTCCATTTTGTAAAACAAAATAGCTGAAGCCCGGGCAACAGGTGTCATTCAGTTTCTGGTCACACAATTATACACATGCTGTGACGATTTTTGCTGTTAAAAGAAACTAAATAAACAAAATTTACTTGAAGAATATCGATAATCAATCAATTGAATTGAATTCGATAGAAAACTGAGAAAAGAAAGAAAGATTAATTTGAAAAATGAAAGTCAAAGAACTTTTTTTATTTTTCGTTTTGAATATTCATTTTACCATCAAAATTGCATTGTTTGAATATTCATAAGTTGTAAGACAACCAATATTAACAAACATTAACATGAATTCAATGTTTGTATAACGAGACGGTCAAAGTTCATAATCATGATCATTGAACAAAAACATGATGAATCAAACGAAACACACAAACATTTTGATGAACAAAATCCAAAACCAAATGGATGAAGAAATGAAATGAAATAACATTTCGGGCAAAGTATTTATATGAAAAAAAAGTCAATGTTAATTGATGATCATCATCATCATCGAAATGGGTTGAAGAATCAACTTTTCGTAGCCCTTTTTTTTTAAAAAATATGAAATGTTTTGAATTTTGGAATTTAATTTTGTTTGTTTGTTTGGTCAAAAACCACAATCAAACAAAAATGTATGATAATAAAAGTGTGGGTGATCGGATGAATGAATTTTATTTTTTTTTTTTTGTTTAATGAAGAAACAAACAAACATCGACATAGACATGCCAGACATTTTGAAAAAAATGAATAAATGAATGAATGAATTACCATCAAATCGATGATGATAATCATGTCCATAAAATAATTTGTTTCGGTTGGTCGATACACAGTAGACCAATGAACGAAATGAATGAAAAAAACATAAATACCAATGACATTAATAATCAACCAATGATTATTTTTGGATAACAAAAGAAAAATATATTACAAAAAAAACATCTGTCTACATAATTTTAATGATGATCTCGTTTCGTTCAAATATTCATGGTATTCATGTTTTCCATATCCAAAATCAATGACATAATTCAAACATCCAAACATCCATTTGACATCAATTTTTTTCATTTAAATTCAAAAAAAAAATTTAAAATATTTCATTAAACGGATTGATGAATTCATTATGTCTGTTTTTGAAATGAAAATCAATTTTTTTTTTGGTTAGTTGAACAAAATAAAAGATGATGATTGATTGCGAATCAAACTTTTATTCAAGTTGTTGTTTTGATACATCTTTTGACAATTATTGATCGAACAAACTTCTTGTTTTCATCCAAAATCCTTTTTTTCATATTCATCATTTATTCAATTGTATTTGGATCAATTCAAGTAATTCTAATAATTGTTGATAATATTGTTGAAAATATTTTTCACGATGTTCAACATTACGATCTAAATAGGATTTTAATTCGGAATAATATTTTCCACCTATTGTCCATTGTTGTTTTCGTTGTTCAATATTAATGTAGTAAAGATTTGTATACATTTTTCCAATCATCATATAAGCTGTTAATATTGGTTTAATATATTCATCATCTTTAATTTTATCAGGTAATTGATATTGAATCAATTCATCAATTGTTTTGGGAATTTTTTTCAATTTATCCGAATTAAATTCATTGAAACTACTTAAAAATCTATAAAAATAAATAATCGATTTTTGTATTAAAATATTGACTTTTTTCATCACATGAATATTTCGTTCATTATTCAATCGTAATTTTGTTTTTATTTCTTGTTCATCCAAAATCGTTTCCTTTTCATTCGATCGGATATTTTGAATTTCCTGTTGTTGTTGTAGATAATTTTGTTCATATTGTTCCATTTTTAATGAAACTTGATTAGAATAAAGATCACCAAGTTCATATAATAATTTCCGATAATATTTAATAAAATGATCTGGACTAATTTCCTTTAATAATCCTTCAAATAAATCGATACGTCGTTTATTCATTTTACATCGAGAATCAATATCATCAAGAAACGAAAGCATAGATCCATGAATGGATGAATGATCAAAAATACAATTTATATGATCCGAACATCTTTCATTGATGGTGAAAAATTTTTTCGCTCGTTCAATAGCAGCCAATGCATATTGATATGCTTTTTTTGCTTGTTGATAATCACGAATTGGAAATTTAGGAAATTGTTCCTCCATTTTTATCACATCTGGATCGTGGGAGAATATTTTTCTATTTTTTGTTTGAAAAAAAATGTCATGAAATTAGTCGGAAATTTCATTAAAATAATCGTTATATTGAAACCTACTCTGGTTGAATAGATTTTGTTGGAATTTTATAATCGGGTTTATCAATTAATTCTCGACTTTCATCGAAAATCATCAGACAATATTTCACTTCGATTATATCCAAATCGGCATGTGCTTTTTTAAAACTTTCCATTTCATTTTGTTTAACTTGTTCATTTGTCTCATCGAGAACTTTTCGAGCACAAGCCATCATATGACAAGCCGATTCAAATTGATTTTGTCCAGCATAATATTGAGATAAAGTGGCCATATTTAATGCCCAATCAATATGATCAATTTTCGTTAATTTAGTATTCAGTAAAGGATATTGAAGCATTAATGATTTAAGACAATAGTGTGCCGATTCTTCGGCCATTTCGATTGCCTGATAGAATTGTGCAGCAAGTTCCATTGTGGTAAGAAAATTGTTATTCATTCGTTTTGGATCATCATCATCTAGCTCACGAGCAAAACTATCAATTATTTGATGCAAATCGATAATATGAACATCAAGTTTCAATATATCATCAAATCCAATAAAAGCTGGATGAGGATTCTGATTATTCCTAATAATTTATAAAATATAATTTTAATAAAATATCATTCATTAAAAATATCTTTACCATTCATCATATATGGATTCAACTTCTTTAATGTAACATGAAATTAGATGAGAATTTTTATTCATATCATCATTGAATGTTTGACTTATAATTTGATTCAAAAAATCAATTAAAAGGCCAGCGAATGAATTACGCATTGAAGTATCACTGGATGGAGGTATTGATTGATCATCATTTAGAAAGATAATCAAACCAAAAAACGGAAATTGTTTATGCAAAATTTCTTGACATTTTCCAAGAAAAATTCTTGCAAAAACAAAATCTCCAAGTTTACAAAAAATTTTATAAACTTTCAAATGAATATACCATAATAAAAGCCAATAACGATCTGATTTTTGATCATCAACAACAATATTATCCGATTGTTTGGATAAATTTTCCAATGATTTCAAAACATTATGTGGAAATTCATCATCCGATAATTTATCAAACGTTTGTCTGACCGATAAAAGCCATTCATTAAATGATAATGACATATTCCAAAAAATTTCGAACACGTTCGTAAATCAACAAATTCTTGTCATTCTGTTTTCTTTTTTATAAAAACAATCGAAACATCTTACGACAACGATATAATCGATTGTTTCGTTCATTGCTTCTAATTCTTTTTATAGATTTTCTTCAAAACGATAAACAACGCAAGCTCAAAATAAATTCTTATTGATTCAATGTTATTCTCATTATTGTTATATCGATTTCGAGAATTATTTGAATCCTGGATCCTATTATTTATTGAAAAAAATGTTCCCGAGAACGATTATTCATTTTGAAGCGATATTCATTTTCGGTTTACATTTTGTTTTGTTATTTTTTTCATAAAATAAAATTGTAGTAGCATTAGGAATTGTTTATTTTGGATAGCAGCAAAAAGAATGTTGAAAAAGAAGTAGTATTAGCGATGATGGTAGAATGCCACACCTGCTATGTAATTCGAAATACATGTGATCAAAGCCATTTTTTTCTGTTTTTTCTTTCAATAAACAATACTGCTACCTTTTTATTTTTTTAGTAACGATTATCATCACAATATTGGTGATTTCCCTTTCCCATCAAAAAAAATTTCATCGAGTATACTTACCACTACCAAAATATCAGATTTTTCGAATGATTTTTTTTTTCGAACATACAACATACATTTATGAACGTCTACTATTTTTCGAAGCATTTTTTTTTTACTCAATTCATCATAAAGCGAACACATATCATGTTGTTGTTGTTGTTGTTCGACTTGTAACGAATTTTTTTTTTCTTTTCATTCTTTCTCCATTTTGCTTTGAAAATAATCGTTATTATTGTTGTTGTTGTTGTTGTTGGGTTTTTGTGTTTCCGAATTTCCGTTTATATTGCGTGTGTGTATTGTGTGTTGTATGTTTTTTTTTTCATTTTGGTATTTGAATCGGGTAAAATCTTCTTGTATCCCTTGTTTTCTGCTATCATCATCATTATCATCAAAATTATATGAAATATAGAGTATATATTTTATTTTCACTTTGCTACGACGACAAACACGATCCTCATCATCATCAATATAAAGATAAACCGATTTTTTTTTCATCAATATTTTGCCTTTATGTGAGCACTCATTCTATGCATGTATAACATTATACAAATGATTTTCTCCTTGTAGTAGACATCATCATCATCATCATTTCACTCTTTTTTTTTCAAACAAAAAAAATTTTCTTGATGTAAAAATCATATTTTCATCTTTATTTTTTCTTTTGGTTTTTTTATTTATCAACAGAAAAAAATATCCTTATTTTAAAATTTGTTTATATAAATTGCTATAAATTTGAAAATTTTTGAATTGTTTTAATGTTTGCACATACATAGTGAAAACAAAATGATTTGTTTATGAAAAAAAACAACAATAATAATTTTAAAAAAAGTAAAATAATTTTATTATTTCTTACAGCTGAATCAAAACAACAAACAAACAAAAAAGGCTTACAACAAAATACAATCACATTATCATCATTTGAGATATATTTGTTATTCTCATTAATTATACAATATAATTTGTCGTGTCATCTTGTTTTAATCAATCGGTTATTTTGTTTTTCTGGTTGTTTCGAAAAAAAATAATTTATCTTGATTCATCCCTCAACCAATATATATAAAATTTATATTTCATCATTCAAACAAACAAACGACGACAACAACAACACAGATCATCATCAAAAAAAAAAGAGTGAACCGATTCAAAATCATTTACAAATTTATAAAACATGGCCGATCCATTAAATATAGATAGTATTATATCTCGACTTCTTGAAGGTAAGATTTTCAATTCAGTTATTTTTTAAATAAATTCTGCATTTTGCATTCTGAAGATTCTGCAATATTCATTTACAGAGCAAATTTTTATTCGTACTCAATTTTCCATTTATAATCTCGCATTCTGTTTTGTTTCGTTTCCATGTTATCATTAGTTTTTGTTTTGTTTATCCTTTTGAGTTTTAATATTTCAAAATAAAAACTAATCATTACATTGCATATAATTCAATTGCTTGCCATGTTTGTTAAAAAAAAAGTTATAATTGTCGAATTTCTGGTTGTTTATTTATATGTGTTTGTGTGTTTTGTTTTATGTGTGCTGACACATATCTAAAACGAATATTAAATACAGTCTGAAAATTCCTAATATCCTATGATGAGGTTTCTTTTTTTCTTTTGATGAAATTATCTTTAGAAAAACATTTAACTTTTTTCATGATATGAGGATTGGATGCTCTCAAGGATAACCCTAAAATACATTTTGAAGATCCATTAGTCCAGTTTTGTTTTTTTTTTTCAAAAAAAATAATTAAATAACTTAATTTTTGTTTGTTTTTTGTTTAAATTTGGATTTTTTTAAGACCATCATTTATCGTGTAAGGATTGTAAAAGTGCAAAAACAAAATTCATCATCACATTGACGGATAATATAGATGTTTAGTAATAAAACAGTCTCACTATTTATTTAATGACATTTTATTATATGGATGATAATCGAGAAAAACTCCTTACTCTCAAATCCAGGGTTTTGTTTGTTTTTTTTTCTGATACACATTGACAATCTACATTGTTTTATATCTTTTCTATATTTGTTGACTTTGATCGATAACAAAATATACAGTAGGTTTCAATTTAATCTTGGCATTCAGCCATGATTTAATACATGGTCGATTATTTTTATCCAGGATTATTTCATTCATTGAAAATCATTAATGTGTTTCTTTTTTATCGACAAGGACTTGTCCGTCAAAAATAATGATGCTAACCTTACAATGGTAACCAGTAAATTGTTGATAATTTTTTTTCAGGAAATATAAAACCTTGCTATTTCAATCTTGTTGTTACAAACACGCATTATTATTTAGTTTATTAACCTCGAGATAATGTATGAAAAATTGACTGCGATTGCTAAAAAAATGCTTGTAATAACGTCTTTTTCTCTCTGTTTTAATAGATCATAATTGTAAATTAATTTGTTGTTTATATTATTTTCAATAGTTCGAGGTTGTCGCCCCGGTAAAGCAGTTCAATTGGCTGAAACAGAAGTTCGAGCCCTATGTCTTAAATCACGTGAAATATTTCTTTCACAGCCAATATTATTAGAATTGGAAGCTCCATTAAAAATTTGTGGTAAGTATTAATTTTTTATAATTTATCATTATCAATAAGTGTCTGATCAAAATGAATAATTTAAATGTGTGTTTTTTCTAGGTGACATTCATGGTCAATATACAGATTTGTTACGTTTGTTTGAATATGGTGGTTTTCCACCCGAAGCTAACTATCTATTTTTGGGTGATTATGTGGATAGAGGAAAACAATCATTGGAGACAATTTGTCTATTATTGGCCTATAAGATCAAGTATCCAGAAAATTTTTTCCTTCTTCGTGGCAATCATGAATGTGCCAGCATTAATCGTATATATGGCTTCTATGATGAATGTATGTATTATTACTTTGAATGATAGTTTCATAATTGATTGTCATCTAATCATTTCGATATATATAGGTAAACGAAGATACAATATCAAACTGTGGAAGACCTTTACTGATTGTTTCAACTGTCTTCCAATTGCCGCCATCATCGACGAAAAAATTTTCTGCTGTCATGGAGGTAGGTGCACGGAATCAATTTTTTTTTTTTTGAACGAGAACAAATTCTGATAATTAGAATCATTGTGTTGTCTCTTATAAATGATTTAAAAAAGAACATTCTATTTGGCTTAATGATCTTTTTTTAATTAGCTTCATTCTTGATCATTAACCTTGAACCATTAGTATTATGTTCCATGAATATGCATGAGATTAATTTGTTTTGTTTTTTTTTGTCGCTTGTTTTCATTTACAGGATTATCACCGGATCTTCATTCAATGGAACAGATTCGTCGTATAATGCGTCCTACCGATGTACCGGACACTGGGCTTCTCTGTGATCTATTATGGTCCGATCCGGACAAAGATGTCCAAGGATGGGGTGAAAATGATCGTGGTGTCTCATTCACATTCGGAGCAGATGTTGTTACAAAATTTTTGCACAGGCATGATCTTGATCTCATTTGTCGTGCACATCAAGTGGTCGAAGATGGCTATGAATTTTTCGCTAAACGACAATTGGTCACATTATTCTCTGCGCCGAATTATTGTGGTGAATTTGATAACGCTGGCGGTATGATGTCCGTTGATGAAACATTAATGTGTTCCTTCCAAGTAAGTTATCCAATCATTTTTAATTCCACTACATTTATATTTTTTTATTATATAATTTTCAATTTTTCAAGTATAATCATAAATTTTTGCTATTATGCTAGTCAGTCAGAAAGAGGATTATTAAAATTCTTATGGGAATGACGTAAATGATATAGAAATATTAGACATCTTTTCAACTAATTAACATTGAATTTTACTCTTTCATTTTCATGAAAAAAAACAAGATGGTACATGTAGTCATCATTTAATCTTTTTCTACCGATAATTTGACAGTGTTATTAACTAATCTTCAATGAAAATGAAACAAATGCATTCGATTGTTTTTGTTTTAACGATTGATTTAGAAATATGTTGATGCATTTCCCATTCAAATGATTTAAAATAATGTCTATAAAAGAAAAATTTTCATTTTTTTTTTCGATCATAAACAAGATGATGATTGATTGATTGATTGAAATGTCTTGAATTGTTTTATGATGCCGATCATAATCTTTTTTTTTCCTTTCATGAAAATGAAAAAAAATCGACTCAAAATGGAAAATGATCGATCGATGTTTTGTTCATATCGATTGTGTGTGTGTGTGTTATCAAAGAATCGCGTTGCAATCATTTTTACGATGCTTTTCTTTGTAAATTCGATTGAAGTCTCTCTGTTGACTTTGTTTTTTTTTCAATGTTATTCCAGGCATGTAAACACACTTGATATTAATAATGGAGATAAGAGTTTTTTTTGAGTCTATAATTTGGATCAAATATTTTCTTCTTGAAGATGTTTTTAGAATCTTATTAAATTGTAAATGTAAGTTTACATTGTACACTTATAATAAACTGAATGATGATGAAAATTTTTCATCAACTTAACTGGCCTAGTTTTCTTTTATCGCCCACCAATTCATAATATATGATGAGACTGTGGTATATTTATTTTTTAAAACAAATAATAATAAATATCCCCGATACTATGGATATTGTTTATTGAACATTGAAAATTCATTTTTGTTTTATTAGATTAATGGGTTTTTCTTTTTCTTAGGATAATAATCGGTCATAAACAAATGATTAATTCAATTATTATCGGATTATTACAATATTGTTTTTTGTTTTTTGGTTTTCTAAATATGAAATAAAACATGTCCACGAATTAATATCAATTCTCACCTCTATATATTTATTCGACTTTATCTTATTATCTTTTTTTTAATCTAAATGATTTATTATCATATAAACGATAGCAAATTTAGCATTTAGATGATTTTGTTTTGTTCTTTTGCCAAAAAGTTTATTTGTTTGTCATTTCGAGCGGCAATAATTATAATTATATTTTTTTTTTTACTTTTATCTGATTAGTATACTAAAAAAATTCTTTCTTTCTTTTTTTGTGTTGATTCTGTGTTCCAAAAACAATTCGTTTTTTTTGTTTGTTTGTTTTTGTTTATTTCTAGAAAAAATTTTCTTTTCCCCGTAAAATCAAATAGATTTAGAATTGGGCTACAACAAATAATGGTTCGCGTATTAAAAATGTTTTTAACCCACTATAATACCACAACATCGATTGTATTCTTGTCTCATACCTGGATTTATTATTACCCAATTTTTTGACTAATCACGGAAAATTCAATCAATATTTATCAATATTTTTTCTTCTGATTTCAATTTTGGTTTAAAACAAGCGCTCAGTATTTATTAATAATAATTGTAAAACGTTTTACAAGATTCTATTTCTATAATTTGATTAATTCTAATGATTGTTAACATTTTTGCAGTTTTAATATTTTTGAATTTTGTTTTCTTTATCTATTGTAACCTTTTATTTTTTTGATAATATTTGTTCCCCTATATTTATATTTGCAATAAGGGTTTTAATAAAATTTATTCTATTATTCTTTAAATAGATATAGTATTTCAGTTATATAAATTAAACTTTCTAGATGGCTTTGAGCAAATTTTTCTTGTATTTTTCATGCTCGCAATTCAACCAAAAATAATCCATTGACATCACATCACATCTGCAACATTGTCGTTTATCACATTTGTTTTGAATTACTTGGTCGATTCACTAGAATGCTAAATTAAACATATATGTGTTTAGGCTATTGAATTTCTTATGCAGAAAATGATTATATAAAAAAAACAAAATTGAAATGCATTCATGCTTGTTGTTGAATAAATAATGATTTTGAAACATTTGAATTCTTGATTTAAAAAAAACATTTTCGACATTTAACCCTATTCTATATTCTGAGTCAAAAAAAATGGTTAAATTTTCTTATTGGCAATGACATTTTTGACAGGATTTTTCTTTCAATTACAATTCTTTGTATCCAGTTGCAAACTCATTATTTTTTTTTGAATGAAAACCGAACTCCTTCATTGTTTGGTGGTTGTTTTTCATTTGTCAAACTTGTTCTTGAGAAAACATGCTGTGTGTGAAAAGATTGTTATCTAATTCTTTGTCCAAAGGAAATTACTTCACATTTTAATAAATTTGTTTTTATAAAAATCTCATCAATTACCAAGGGTAATTTCTAATGACAATTTCCTTAATCATATAGGAGCTAATATTTTATTTCATAATGTCAATGTTTGGGTGGTGTTTGTGGTTTTCACAAACATTTATTTTCTTGTAATTTCCATGTTTTTCTCTGATATTATTACCTTTTTCAGATAATTTTTTTTTTTTTTTTGGTATATTGTGACAACAAATGTTTTTCTGTTTTGATAGAAAAAATTCTGATCCTGAAATTGAACCCGGGATTTTTTTTTCACAATAACAAATATTTGTTCCATTTTTCATTTGTTGTTTACTTCTTTGAATAATTCTTTCACTATTGTTTGGGTTTGATTCAGCGTAGCACTCTATTTACGTCAGCCATTTGATGGCAAATACAGTGAAAGTAAAAAAAAAATCTAAATATAATAATATTCAAAATGCTAAAATTTATAGTATAGGAAAAATTCTGTCCAATCGATTACTTTTATTGAAAGTAAAATGAAAAGAGAGAGGAATACACACATACATACATATACAGAATACAGAATCGAAAAAAGTGGGCTAATCGTTTATATGAAAAAAATAATTTTTGTTTTCTTGCATTGCATAGGACAAAAGGAGTGTTTTCTTCTTTTTTTGTTTCATTTATTTATTTATTCTTTCTAAAGTAATATGTCAATCATGTGAGTGCAGAATCCTTCATAGTCATAGTCATCTTTATCGTCATCAACTTTGTCGTTCCCTTTTCAATGTAGTTTATATTTAGAAATCATCAATAAAAATAATATTCAATTTAAACAGTCGATTGAACATTTATTTTCGAAACAAAAAGTGAGATTCAATTTGTTTTTGTTTTTTTCATTTCTTTTGACATCATCGATCAAGAGAATTGGTGTCCATATGTGTGTGTGTGTGTGTGTGCATGCGTTTTTTATTCCTTCGAATCAAATGTAATTTCAAAATGCGCGAGTACATTTAAGAAACAAGAAAAAGAAAAACATTTAAAAATCTATTTGCTTAATGTATTTGTATGTATTTTTTTAATCAATCAAAGAAAAGCAAAAAAAATGATGTTATTTGCGTGAAAAAATTAGAAATTGGCTAAAATTAGTAACAAATCATCCCATTTTTTTTTAAATTCAATTGGTGCGCTTTATACTTGCTTTGTTTATCATTTTCCTATGTTGGTTTTTTCATTTGCATCATCATCATCATCATTCACAACGATTCTGATCATCATCGTGATCATGATATAATGATGATGGTGGTGATGATGATGATGAAATCAAGCAGCTGTTACCGAATTGAAATTTTTTTTCCACTTTTTACTTTGAACAACAACGAAAGAAAAAAAAACTTGTGCCTGTGATTGAAAAGGGAAAAACTTTTTTCTTTCACTTTCGATTTGGATATTTATTAATAGCGAAAGAGAGAGAGAGAAGAAAAAAATCTATTAATTTTATTTCGATGGTTTGTTAACTTTGGTTTTTTGTTTGCCATTATTATTGCATAAACCGTAGGTGAATTTCAAACCATTTACTTAAGTGGTGTGTGTCAGTATTTATATCTAAATTTATCTTTGTTTTAGCCATTCATTTATTTATTTATTTCGGGTGGAATGGGAGATTATTATCAAAAAAAAAATTTCCATTGTTTTTTGTTTCACATATATCATAATGATTGATGAATTTCTTTTTTTTAAATTAAGAATCAATCCCATATTAATTTTATTTTTTTTTCATTCTATTTTTTTTTCTACAAAACCAATTATAGATATTGAAACCATCAGAAAAGAAAGCCAAATATCAATATGGTGGACTAAATTCTGGTCGTCCGTTGACACCGCCAAGAGCACCGGCTATTAAGAAAAAATAATAATAATAATTAGAAAATTTATCATCATTCTTATATTGGTTATAATTAATAATAATAAAATTTCGGAAAAAAAATAAATGGTCGACCCTCAATACAGATCAAAACAAAACAAAACAAACAAACAACATATAATTAATACACACACACATACACCACGTATACACAGTGAGATTTCTTAAACTAATCAATTCATTTAATGTTTTTTTTCCCCTGAAAAAATAATAAACGATTAATAATTTACACCCTCTCTCACTCGTAAATACAACAAAACAAAAACATACCCATTTTTGAAACATACACACACACACAAAACATTACCTGAATTGAATAATTTTGCATCCAAGTAAAATGAATATAATATTGGAATGACAATAATAACAACAACAACAAATATTACAAATTTGATAAGTTAAATGTTATTAGAAATACAAATACAAAAAACATTCAAACAACAAATTTGTAATTCATTATTATTTGTTCTTTAAATATTGGATGCATTTATTTTTTATTTGCACCAATCAATCAATCTCATTTTTTTCACTTTTATTCATCACCTATTAATAATATTAATAATATTAATATCAATAAATACATTCACATTGAATGTTTTTGAAGATGAAACAACAACAAAAACAAACATTTAGATTGAAACACCTGAAACACATACAATTATTATTAAGAAAAAAAATATGGACATATAAAATAATAATAATCATTAATAAATTTTTGTTATAAATTCATCATTATCATTATTGTTTTTTGGTTCATTTTTTTCTAATTCTAAAAACGATAAAGGTATAAAGGGTTGAAATTTTCTTTTCGTTCAGTTTGGCAAACATCATCCATCAACGAAGAAGAACATTCACATTTTATTCAAACATCTTTTGGATTCAAAATCTTGTATTTTTCTCATTTTACAATTTATCAATCAAACCTGATGTGTTTGCGTGTATGTGTAAAATTCTATGTTTATTTTGGATGATGATGATAGTGTTTACCTCTTTTTTATCAATTAGAAAATCCTTTTATATGGACACATACACACAAACACTTGAACAAAATTCAAATAAACAAAATCTGGTGCACTATATTATTATTATGAATGATGAATAATAAGAATAATTAATAAATCTTGATGGATGTTGTTTTACTGGTATCAGTTATTTATTTTTCACAAGAAATTTTCCACATTTGCCTCATGAATAATAATGATTTTCTGAACTTGAATTTGGGAAAAAACAAAACAAACAAACAAACAGATTATTCTGCTATCATAATTATTATCTGTTTTCATTTTTTCATCCCATCTCTCTCTCTCTCTCCAAAAAAAAAAGTAGTTATTATTTAGCAAACAAAATGGTTTTAACTAAAAGTTGTAAAATAGATATTTTATGTTCGGCCCTTTCGAATTGAGTATCCGTTGTGTTTCATTTAAATTATTATTATTTTGTTTTTGAAAATGCGAAAATTTTCTTTTGTTTCGTTGAACATCATCATATTACAAGTTGTGAATAAAAGTTTCATTTTTTTTGGATACGATTCGGTTGAATTATTTTATTATTATTATTGATTGGGTAACGAAAATTCTGGGATTTCATTTTGTTTTTGGGGTAATTGGAAACTTGATAAAAACACACTAACAAAATTCATTTCACTTTTCATCATTTGACACACACACAGATGATTCCATTATTTTGGATTGAATCTGGTTTCGATTGGTCGAACGTCATCATCGATAATGTGTAATAAAATCGAGTTTTCGAATGTCCAATTCAAACTGGTGAACAAAAAAACGGGAAAAATTAGACAAATAGCATCCACTAATAATCGATAAAGTGCAAAAAATTTATCGGATTCTTCATTATCATTTTAATTAACTAAATCAAAGATTATTAATAACCTTTCAATTCATATTTTTCTTTTTAAATTATTCATTATTTACTTTTATAATGAAAAATCATCAGAATCATCATCATTTTCAATGCCATCCATCATTTTCAAAAAAAAAAAAAATCCAGGCAAATCAATTTTTGTTTCCAATCAAAAATGTACATTTTTTGTATAATTTATTTCTAATCTACTACGTCATTCAACAACAACAACAACAACAAAAAATTATCACTTTTGATCACACTTATAATAAGTCAGTTATTCAAAAAATTGAAATATGATAAATAATTTGATTTACAGGTTGACAAATCAAATGACAAACAAAAAAAATTGAGACAATTTCAGTTTTTCCTCACGGGAAAATAAAAATTCCCGGACAAAAGTGATCCGGGAAAAAAAATTTCATAATAATCAAATTAAATAATGATGTTATTGGAAAGAAGAAAAATTGAAAAATTCAGAAAAAGAATTCCACAGAATTCTCTTTTTGAATTTTAATCATATTATTATTATTATTATTTCATGATGTTTCTTTTCTGTTTTGTTTTGTTTCAAATGTAATTAATTTATTTTTTTTAATAATTAAATGAACATTGAATTTTTTAAAAAAATTTTGATCAATAATTTAGTTTCAAAAAAGTTTCAAAATTATAGAATTTCATTTAAACTATAGTGAAATGAAACTAAAAAAAAAAAAAAAAACAGAAAATAGATTTGTCAAAAGCCAAGATTTTGGGAATATATTTTCGAATTATGGTTGCATATATATTCTGCGATTATCTTTCGTAATACTTTTTTTTGATGGAATGATACAATCTTTTTCATTGTGTGTATGTGTGTTTGTCGAATATCAGAAATAGATAATAAAAAAATGGCAAAAGTTAGCAAAAGATAATCAAAGATCAAGTTATAATATGATTCAACAAAAAAAAAAAAAAAAACAGAATACAGATTAGAGATTTGTTATCAGAAAATAGATAATATGATTCTGGTAAAATATATATTAGTTTTGTCACAAAAGACAACAAAAACACACCCGATATTTTTCCAGCTAACATGCGTCATTAAAAAAATGGAAAAGAATTTTCAATCATGAAAAATCAACCAAATTCTTATATTCTTGTCCATTGTGATGACAAAGGGATTTTAAAAAAACGAAAAAAAAAGAAAGGTACAAAGCAAAACAAAACCAAAAAAAAAAGAGATTTTCAAATCATTATAGAATTCTTGAGAAAAATCAAAAATAAAC